TACTTATTAATTTAAATAAAAAAAATAAAAGTATTTTGTGTAATTTGCACATGCATTGAACTGCATAAAACTAAGAATTATAGAAGGATAATCTTGACTCTATAATATGACATAATTCACATATAACTCTAAGAAAATATAATCTTATTTTACAATTTGAAACTATAGAATTATTAGATAAAAATATAGTATCAAAATTCACCCCTAATAATTTAAATTGTGCAATTTCACCAACTTCAGACTGCACTAATTTTAGAATAAAAAGAAAAAAAAAGACTGCACTAATTCAACATCGAAAAATCAACCATCTAATCAACTTCTTTGTTGATTAATTCATACTTTTTTTTTAGAATAAATTAATTTATAAGAATTTTGTTTTATAATTTTAATTATTTTAAATTATAAAAAAATTATTAAATAAAAAAGAATCTAATATCAAAAACTTGAAAATGATTTAGAAACATCTTTTTTATATAACATTATATGTTATTTAAATAATTAACTCTTTTTATTTATTTGAGACCTCCACTTCATAAAAAGAAAATTCTTTCAACATCTGTTTTTCATTCATAATATTCAAACTTAAAATATTATTTTAAAAGAATCAAGTTTCTTTCAATTAAATTAACGAATTGTTGATTTATTCAATAACATATAAAGATTATGTTTGGTACAGCTGGTGAAAAATTTTTTTGGACTTCAAAAGCTCCAATTGTATCAAACATTATAATTTTTAAAAAGTGTTACAACTTTTCACAAATTAATTTTTTATTAATTTTATTACAAATCTCATAAGCATTGAATTAATACTTATGTAAGAACTTTTCACTTGGATTTTAATAAAATTAATATATTATTTTCATTTTATTCTTATTTTTATTTCTATTTATAAAAACAACACTTTTATAATAATTTTTTTTTTAACAAAATTTCTATTAAAAACTTTAAGTACGCAAAACAAATACAAAAATTATATAAAAGATATTATAAAAAATTATCTTTATATCATCATCATTAAAAATTCAAATTTTTATTTAATAATTAATATAATTTAATTTAACACAAGCCAAATTTCATTTTACTTTTGCATTACTTTATACTGTCCTTGGGAGAGAAGTAAAGTGAAGAAAGAGAAGAAAATCAGTTTCCGACTAAATTTTTTCTGAACTGTCAAACCGAACCAAAAACCGTTAGGATGGCGACACGTAAGCAAGCCCTTTAATTAGTCACCATTTCCTTCTGTCTTTAAATTCTCAAAATCCCAGAGCGGGTGGTGCCCAAAATAGCGGGAACCGACTCCAACGCAACGCCAACTCCTCCACACCACCACCATCACCACCACCACCACAACCACCAACATCCGCCAATCTCTGCCGCTTTCTCTCCTGCGACCCGTGTCGACGGATCCGCTTTCCTCTCCCCTTCTCAAATTTGGGGGGACTGAAGGAGGCACACAAATTGTCTGAGAAAGACGAAAACAGAACATTTTTTCGGAGGCTTTTCCACTATCTTGTCTGAATCATCAAATCAAAGCCTTTTCAAACAAAAATAAATTCAATCTGTTTTTCTTCTGTCTTGAATCTCAACCAGTTTCTTCTTTTCTTTTTCTTTTTCTTTTTTTAAAGTTCTTTTCTTTTCCGTAATTATTGTCGCGGTGGAGCCGTTGTTATTTAGTTTTCGGAAAGTTTCGAGTTTTGTGGCAAATTCTCTTGTTCTCAAAAGATCTCAGCCGAAGAAATTTCCGTTTTTTTCCTTCATTTCTAGCGAAAAGTAGAGATTTTTAGCGGTTAATAGATGGAGCAGAAGCACGTATTGTTGTCGGCTTTGAGTGTCGGAGTCGGGGTCGGAGTGGGGTTGGGTTTGGCCACCGGCCAAACCATGAGCAAATGGACCGGAAGTGGTGCTGCCTCGACCGGCGTTACTTTGGAGAAGATGGAGCAAGAATTGATCAGGGAAATTGTGGATGGTAGAGAAAGCAAGGTCACCTTTGAAGAGTTCCCTTACTACCTCAGGTAATGTTGAATCAATTTGCTTTCTTCTATTTTTGCCTTCTTTTATAGGAAATAATAATACAGTATTCCCTTTTTGTTTCGAAAAACTTAGATTTTTCCACTTTATTTCCAAAATGTTATTTTGATATTTCAACAAGTGATTACTAGGGATGCCTCGAGCATAAAGATTTTTTTTTTCTGTGATTTTATAGGTGTTTTTTTTCATATATTTATTTATTTCTATCTAATTTTCTAGAAAATCTGTTCATTGTTTGATTTAGATTTGGATTTAGAATCTGATTATCACCTGCTCCGCCGTTTTCATGTTGTCTTCCCATATATTTTTGTCGGTTGGGTAAGCCCCTTAGTTTGTAGGTATATGTCATAAGAATCGAATTTTCATGTTGTCTTTTGGATAAATGAAGGCTAGTTACTAGATCTGAATCAATAACAGAATGATGTTGTTACTGAGGTTGTGTAAATCTTGTCCCATGAAAGAATTGTAGAATAGTGGCCTCTTTCCATATTAATATTACATGTGGGCATATGATTTTGTAACTCTTGTTGTCATTATCATCTTATATTACTCACTCTTTTTCTGTGTCTTTGTCCTGATGATTCTGGCCATAGTGAGCAAACTCGAGTATTGTTGACAAGTGCTGCTTATGTTCACTTGAAGCATGCCGATGTTTCCAAGTACACAAGAAACCTTTCCCCTGCCAGTAGAGCCATTTTGCTCTCTGGGCCTGCAGGTTGGCTTTATGAAATATATTCTGCTTCTTACTGATATGGTTTACAATTTATATATGTGATTTTGAGAAGAATCCTTATTGTGCTGTTTCTTATTGTGAAGAACTTTACCAGCAAATGCTTGCAAAAGCTTTAGCCCATTATTTTGAAGCGAAGCTGCTGCTGTTAGATGTAACTGACTTTTCTCTAAAGGTGGCTATCTGCTAGTTTTCTCTTGTTATGCAGCTTCCTTTTCTTCTGCCTTCTGGTTGTTAACTGATATTTGTGATGGTCCTTCGTGCAGATTATGAGCAAATATGGTGGTGGTAGCAATAAAGAAGCTGTAAGTTTCACTTGATATATTATGAGCATGATTTTCTTGTACAGTAAATGGAACCATGTCCTCAGGTTAAAAACTTATGGAACCTGTTGGACGTAATGAAATAGTGATTCTCACTGTACCTCTACCCCCCCCCCCCCCCCCTTTTCTCCTTAAGAATATAAATGGTAAAGGCTTTCGAAGTCCATAATTCTGCAACCTGATATGTTAAATGTTTTTACTTAAAGAATGGATGACTTCTTCTTCCTAATTTTTTATTCTGTTTTCTAGTCTTTGAAAAGGTGCCCTTCAGAATCAACACTAGAGCGCTTGTCTGGCCTATTTGGGTCATTTTCACTGATTTCATCAAAGGAGGAGCCCCAAGGTAGGATTGAAGATACTTACCTTTTAGTTCTCTCAACTGTACCTTAATATATTATTGATGAGTTATCTGTTTCCATGGCAGGCATGTTACGTAGGCAAAATAGTGGCGTGGAAATTGGATCATGGTATTATGGAGTTTATTTCCATCCTATGTTAATTGCATGGGAAATGTGTTGTGCCCTGTAATATTTGAAAATTTTATGGTCCCTGTGATTTCAGGGGAAAAGAAGGTTGTAATAATCCTCCTACGTTAAGGAGAAATGCATCATTATCAGCTAACCTCAATAACCTAGCTTCTCAGTGCAGTTCTGCCAATCCAGGTCTGTACTTATAATCTTATATCATTTCAGCCTTGTAAATATTTTGAATACATTATAAGAAGGAATTGGTGGGAAATAGGTTATAGTCTGTTTATGGATTTCATCTTCATCGCTTATGTACTACAACATCTTAAGAATATGTATTACATGCATGGAAATGCAGTGTGGCTTCAAGGCAGGTGGTTTTTTATTTTTTTTTCAGCATTCAAGGCAGGTGGTATAATTTCTTGCAATCACTTAAAAGTCATGTTCTGTGACGGAACCTTCTTTTCTGTGGGGTTCTATGATACTACCAAACAAACAATAAACTGCTTAAGTTGAACTGGAAGTTTTTGTTGGTCACTCGGTCTATTTTCAATCTATGATGTACGCCTTTAAAAAGATCAGGGTTTTGGAAGATGTTAAAATTTCTATGAATTGGTTTTTAAGCAGCAACTATTGGTTATGAGGAGGCTCTTACTTCAGATGCAATATTTCTGATTCCATCTTAAGTTTGTTTTACCCTTTCTGCTGCTTATTCTTCTTTTTCTACTGTTCTTTTTCTTCTCATAGCTCCCCCCAGGCGGACTAGCAGTTGGTCATTTGATGAGAGGCTTCTTATACAGGCTCTATACAAGGTAATGCTATTTCGAACTTGTTTAAATTGCAGCAGTGAAAAATGATGTTAAACCTTTTTTTTTTTTTTTTCTTTACATTATAATGATAATTGTAGTGATTCTGAGTTGACTGCAGGTCTTGGTTTATGTGTCCAAAACAAATCCCATTGTGCTGTATGTTAGGGATGTCAAGAAGCTTTTGTTTAGATCGGGAAGGATATATAATTTATTTCAAAAGATGCTGAGCAAACTCTCTGGACCTGTGCTGATCCTTGGTTCACAAGTTGTAGATCGAGGTAATGATGACAAAGAGGTGGATGAGAGACTAACTGCCCTTTTCCCATACAATATTGAAATCAAACCCCCACAAGATGAAAACCATCTTGTCAGCTGGAAAAATCAGCTGGAGGAGGATATGAAGAAGATCAAAGCACGAGATAATAGAAACCACATCATGGAGGTACTTTCAGCAAATGATGTTGACTGTGATGATCTAGATTCAATCTGTGTGGCAGATACCGTTGCCCTTAGTAACTATATAGAAGAGATTGTGGTATCAGCTATTTCTTTTCACTTAATGAACAATAAGAATCCTGAATACAGAAATGGGAAACTCGTGATTTCACCCAAAAGGTAAAATTACCAATTCTTGGATTGGTGATGTTATTGTTCAGTTTTGTGTTGTTTTGTTTTGTTTTTTTCTTTTGGTGGTGGGGTTTGTTACGATACTGCTCAGTGTTCATGCTCATGTTCTAACTGTGTCTGCTTGCACAGTTTGTCACAGGGATTGAACATATTCCTGGAAGGCAAATCCCTTGGAAAGGACACATTAAAGTTGGAAGCACAGACCGAAGCATCCAAGGTAACAAAACTGGTAGATTTTGACCTTTAATATGGAAGAAATTGACTGCTACATACAATGTTAACCTGTCAGTTTTGTTGGTTGAAAATTAATAGGGAGCAGGAGAAGAGGCCTCTGTAAATACAAAAATAGAATCAAGTGTAATTCCTGAAAAGAAAGGTGAAATAGAGACAACAGCTTCGGTGAAGACTGATGGAGAAAATGCTACTCCAGCCACAAAAGCTCCAGTGAGTTTTTCCCTTTTTTAAAATAACTCCTTGAGGTGATGTTATTGGATGCATGCCTGACATGCTTAAACACAAAGATGCCAATAGCCAAACTCTTTAAATTAACTCATCTCCTAATACGCCCGTAGGAAAAATTAGGGTATCATCAGATGGGATATTGCGGTAGTTCTACATGACACTTTGCGTAGATGACTTGTTCAAACAAATCACTTTTCTCTAAGTATTGATCCATGCTTATTTGAAGCAGGAAGTTCCTCCTGACAATGAATTTGAGAAGCGAATAAGGCCTGAGGTCATACCAGCAAACGAGATTGGTGTATCATTTGCTGATATTGGTGCTTTAGAAGAGACTAAAGAATCTCTCCAGGAACTGGTTATGCTTCCCCTGCGAAGGCCAGACCTCTTCAAAGGAGGACTTCTAAAGCCTTGCAGGGGAATATTGCTTTTTGGCCCTCCTGGAACTGGGAAGACGATGTTGGCCAAGGCCATAGCCAAAGAGGCTGGAGCAAGCTTCATTAACGTATCCATGTCTACCATCACTTCTAAATGGTTTGGTGAAGATGAGAAGAATGTACGAGCTTTATTCACATTGGCAGCAAAGGTCTCCCCAACTATTATATTTGTTGATGAGGTCGATAGCATGCTTGGGCAGAGGTCTAGAGTTGGGGAGCATGAAGCCATGCGGAAAATAAAGAATGAGTTTATGGCTCATTGGGATGGGCTCTTGACAAAACCAGGCGAGCGGATCCTTGTTCTTGCTGCAACCAACAGGCCATTTGACCTTGATGAAGCAATAATCAGGCGTTTTGAGAGAAGGTATTTATGCTCATTATTAACTTTAGATAAGCACCATAGGACTATTTCCTCTCTCTCAAAAAAAAAGGGGGGGGGGGGGGGTGGCGCTCAGATGTTCAGGATAAGCTTCCTTTACTTTTGAAGCTGTTGGAAATAGAAATAACCAATGAATCCTATTACTGTAGAATTAGATGTTTTGACCTGGATACGTAAAACAAAGTAGAAAAATGAGCTGTCAACAAAAATAATTTTGTTGAATAAGTATGGTAAGTGAAACCAAGCAAAAGAGGTTTTCCATCATTGGATCTTCTTAAATTACCATCTTCAGACTTATATTAACTCTTACTGAATTACCAGGATCATGGTAGGGCTTCCATCCTTAGAGAATCGGGAAATGATCTTGAAAACTCTCTTAGCAAAAGAAAAGGTGGAGGAGGGTCTCAACTTCACTGAGCTTGCAGTGATGACTGAAGGATATAGTGGAAGTGACCTTAAGGTTCTTTCCTCTCTTTTTTTTTTTTTTTTCCTTCTGAGCAGTTGTTCCTTTAAAAGAAAAGGAGACTGAGACTTTCCCTGCTTGAAACAGAACTTGTGCACAACAGCTGCTTATCGGCCTGTTAGGGAATTAATAAAGCAAGAGAGATTGAAGGATCAGGTGAGTGCATCATACACATTAAGTCCCATGTTACTCTTATGTTATTTTCTCTACTTCTTAGGAAGAAGGTTAACATCTTTTTCATTTTTCAGGGGAGAAAGCAAAGAGCAGCTGCTGGAAACGACACAGAAGATGCCTCAACTAAAATGGAAGATGGTGAAGAAGGGGAAAGGATTATTACCCTAAGGCCGTTAAACATGGAAGATTTTAGGGAGGCAAAGAACCAGGTGAATTCTCTCTCTCTCTCTCTCTATATATATATTCCCTCATCATTCCTGGAGCACAGACTGGTTGTGCAAAACTGCATATTGTGGACTATCAGAAAATAATCAAACATAAGCAAAGGGAATTGTGCATGTTCTGTGTATTTGTTCACTACATAAATGTTAAATACTCCATTTACCTTTTGGGATGCAGGTTGCGGCTAGCTATTCTGCTGAGGGTGGTAGTATGAATGAGCTGAAGCAGTGGAATGAGATGTACGGAGAAGGAGGTTCTAGGAAGAAAGAGCAGTTAACTTACTTCCTATGAGACTGACATTAAAGGAGTTAGAGAGCTTTTAGGACCTAAATCTCCCTTGATGCCCTTACCACAAGCAGTAAGGAGATGATATCTTTTAAGGAAAAGGCATAACCGAACCTTGAGAAGAATAGGGGAGTACATATATATATGTTGTAACATTAATGATCATGCAATAGTTCATTAGGGATTGAGAATTTGTGTAATGTAATATTACGCTCTGCTGTATTCTAGAATTGAAAATAATGCAGCGGTATGTAGCGCTTTACCAGGCAGGCTGCTGGTCAGAAATAGCCGAAGGGCTACTTTGTACTTCTTTTAAAGCAGTGATATTAATGGAGTGAGATGCTTCTAAAATCTTGAGAAGTTTGATCTCAATTTTCATTTAAATGCTTGTTTTCCTGGGTGTATGACTGTTTATGGATCTGTCCTCCCCAGCCTTGTTTCGGAGAGAGAACTTACACGACCATTCCTGATGGACCAAAGACGGAGAGATTAGACCTATATATGCCGACCAAGAACAGTCCAGGGATTATTAGCCTGCAAAATTGTTGGGCAGAAGAATATCAGTTCAAGCCCGCAAACAAATTAAAATTCTTATCCTAGTCATCAGATTTTGGGCTCATTATCTCGATTCTTGCTGCAATTATCTAAAGGCTAAAGCTACTAAGGTTCTAGAGCCGTTCACGATTCTGGATTGTGCCCATCTTTTCTTCCTGTGCCTACTTTTCTTACGGAAATTGGGTTCTTAATTCTCAATCTGTCAGATCAAAATCTTATTTTTGATGTTCCAGATAATTGATGGGCCATAAGTTAGGTAAAGAGAACATCAAGTATCTACATCAATCCGCATTCCCCTTCTTGTTTCTAATAATCAGGCAAATCTACCCAAATATTTGTCCAAAACCTATGTAAGGTGAATCATCCTAAATAGAGATAGCCTAAAAGACATAAGTAAATCATGATAATAGGTGATAACCAAGCACGAACACGAGACCAAATGTAAAATATACTATTAAATAACATGCAATGTGACATTATCACATCTTTCATAACACCAACATCCACCGTACGGCCACCATGTAACTAGGAAAACAAGAATAGGAAATAATCCATATTCACCAACACTGTGAGTACAAACAAAAGATAAGGGGTTCTAACTTCACAACAACTCACAAAAAACACAGCTACCACCAAATGTATGTCAGAATCCGCGCAACATTAAGCCTTCTTTTTGTCCTTCAATGGCCCCCTTGGGATCTTACTTAAGACCTTAGCATCGAAAACTGCATACAGCTTCTTGATCTCAGCCATAGCTTTCTCAGAAAATGGGTCAATCTTGTCCTCATACTTCTCATAAATCACAGGCACCGTATAAAGCAGTACAAAAACTGTTTTCAAAACCAGAAATTAACCTCAGGGAGAAAAGGAAATTTCATGAAAATAAAAATACGCAAGGATTGAATAATTTCAATACCTATGTAGAACAAGGTCAGGAAATTGCAACAGCTCCCAACAATAGACAGGACCCACAAGCCTGCAATCACCTGATTAAAGAAAAGCCATTACCCAATAACCAAACAAACTAAATTAGCCATTACCCAATGATCAAACAAACTCAATTAGCCATTACCCAAGGATCAAACAAACTCAATTACCCATTAACCAATGATCAAACAAATTAAATTAGCCATTAACCAATGATAAAACAAACTAAAGTTATAATTCAGAAGCAAGTTAAAGTTAAGAAAATAAGAAAACCAATAATTCAGAAACAAAAAAAGAAGCATATTGGAAACTATTCCTACAAACTCATAACTGCAAGCAAAGTAGTTAATTGCAAGACACACTCAATCAAGTAGAACAACAACTACCAAGCAAAGGAAAATGAGCCTACAGAGAGGAACTTCTTGAGATCTCTTCCTGATGCAATATCACGCAAGACAGCAAAAGCCCGATTAATCTCAAACCTCAGAGCAGCTGCAAACTGTAGGACTGGCTCATTAGGGATGCGAACCTCTGGGATGCGTGGAGGTGACCTAAACAAAAGAATTTAACACCAACAGTGCAGATAAAAATGAAATAGGATGGATAAAATTTGACACACATCAAGAGCTTACTTGTTGATGAACAGAGTAGCATTTGCCCACAAGAAGAGTATTGCAAGTGCAACTATCAAACAGTGGCATACCAAGGTAAGAAGGTGGTATTCAAGCAATTCAAACAGAACCCATATTGCTGTTGCAACACCAAGGACTCCAGCAGATATCTTCTTGTTCCTCCACAGGAAAACATCAGCAGCTGTTGCATAGATCCCAGTTTTAGTGGAATACCAGAAAGAACATACCATATATACCATAATAGAGTAACCTCAAAGCCAACATTATTAGATAATTAAATACACAGAAAGTTAGAATTTTCTATTAGGAAAAGGCAATTAAATAATTATCATCAGGAACAATTACAGTAAAATTCAACTTTAATAGAGTAGTCGAAACCCTAGCACTAAAATAGAAGGTCAAGCTCCAAACTACAAATCGCAACAATTAGACTAAAGATCTAGAAATTTCATAAACTCCAAACCAGCATTAAATTGAATTAGTCAAAAATCAAACAAGAATTAAGCTACAAACAATTAATCAAAACCACTAAATCGATCTAACTAAGAAAACCAGGTCCAGATCTAGATCTTAAACAAAAACTACAACATCAAAAAAAAAAAAAAATCCAGTGTCAGGGTTTTAGTCAGATTAAAACCCTAATTTCAGGATTTATAAACACAAAAAATAGGAGCAAATCGGATAATAAAAACAAAAAAATAAAATAAAATAAAACAAACACTAAAAAGAAGATGAAAATATCAGAAAATGAGTGAAGAAGTTGGAAAGGTACGTTTGCCACCGCCGAGAATTTTGTGCACAGGCCTTTCTCTGCCGAAGAGACGGTAGATTTTGGACTTGACGAACGACGGAGACAATTTCTCGTCATCGGAATCCGACGACGAAGACGAATCATGGTCGTGGATCTTCTCATGGATCTTATCAGGTATCTTCTCCATCAACGACGATTCCTCGTGCTTCTTCTCCTCGTGCTTCTTCTCCTCGTGATCTGCCATGGCTCAAAAATTCCCTCTTTCTGCCTCTTTCCACACTCACTGCTACCAAACAAAAAGAAACCCCCTCGAGCTCACTACTTTGCGTTTCAAAATAAGAGAAACCCCCAAAAATGATTTTTTTTTTTT